TTGGTATTCATAGGACTATATTTGAATATATGCTTTATTCCATGCAAAAACATTCACATTTGATACACAAACGATTACCAGAAACAAAGTGACTTAAAATAACACATTTATTATCTCGTACTTCTGTAAGTCAGAAGTCCTGGCATGGGCTCAGCTGGGTTCTCTGCACAGGTTCTCGCCAGGCTGAAATCAAGGTGTCAGCCAGACTGTGCTCCCTTCCGTAGTTCTGGGTATTCTTCCAAGCTCATGTAGTTGTCAGCTGAATTAAGAATTCTGTAGGAGGGTAAGTCTGCTTTCTTGCTGGTCATCAGCCTAGGGGCTACTCTCCATTCTTAGGGGCCACTGCCATCTTCTGCCACAAAAGCCTCCCTACAACATGAAACTTTACTTCTTCAAGGCCAAAACAAAACCATCTGCTGTTGCTTTGAATCTCTCTGACTTGTCCTTGACCCTCTTTTTTAAGAGTTCACTTGATTATGTGGATAATATGCCTTTATTTATTTATTTGGTTCTTTTTGAGACAGGGTCTTTCTAACTCTGTCACCCAGGCTCTGGAGTGCAGTGGTGCAAGATCATGGCTCACTGTGGCCTGGATCTCCCAGGCTCAAGTAACCCTTCCACCTCAGCCACCAGATTAGCTGGCACTACAGGTGTAAGCTACCATGTCTGGCTAATTTTTAAATTATTTGTAAAGATAGGGTCTCCTTATGTTGCCCAAGTTGGTCTTGAACTCCTGGGCTTAAGTGATCCTCCTGTCTCAGCCTCCGAAAATCTGCCTTTAATATTCAGTTGACTGACAAAGTGAGGTACTGGCAATTTGAGAGTAAACAAAGTAGAAATTAATTCTAATGGGTATGATAGTCAACTAACACAGAAATACTACAACTGCAGACTGTGGTAACGGCTGTGAAGAAAATGAACAGGGCAGCGTGACAGGGTAACTAGGGAAGCACTCTCATGACGGGAGGTGATATCAGGGCTGATATCATCTGGAAACTCAGAATGAATCAGTTAAGAGCTGAGCTGAGGGAAGAACAGGCCAGGAAACAGCTGAACTTTCATATCATGTCTGAAACAAATTATTCAGGAGTATAGATTGTCCTCCTGAAGGGAATTCTCTGGAAACCTGTTTTCACTATCATCTTTGGCCTTTAGTATTTTAGCAAAAACACAATATGGAATTAAATTTACTGAACACCTGGGTGTTCCACGATTTCCAGATGCATAAGACAATGTCTTCTGCCCTCAGAGTGCCTTTCTAGGCCATCCATCACATTTACCACAATTATTGGGATCAACGGCACAAGAACTTTGTTCTCCTTGACAAATGGTTCTATAGGATGTTTTAGCTATTTACCACAACCACTATTACCCAACTTCAAGCATGAAAACTTTTTACACAGGCTGTCTTTTTATTGGAAAATGTGAATTTCAAAGTGAGTATAATCTATGTTAGCAAAGAAGAAAGAAAAATGTTTCTTTTTACCTGTTTTGTAACATTTTAAATTTATATACTGGTTTTCAGTGTGAATCTCATTATGTCATAACTCAAATCTACCCTAGCTTGGGATACTATTCAAATACGTAACTATTTTATATTATAGAATCCATTATTTCATCACAGTAAGTTATTCATTGAAATAAGTCATAAGAACATACAATTTGGGTGTTCATTTTCTTCCTATATCCATCATTATCTTCCCTCTATCCAGTTCAGAAAGAATTCATTAAATCCTGACAACTCCCATCAGAAATGTTTCTCAATAACAACCTTATTTCATTATTCTCAGAATGTCTAAGTTTCTATTTTCTCTTTTTTTTTAAGTTTCACTCTTGTTGCCCAGGCTACAGTGCAATGGTATGATATAGGCTCACTGCAACCCCCGCCTCTGGGGTTCAAGCGATTCTCCTGCCTCAGCCTCCTGAGTAGCTGGGATTATAGGCATGCGTCACTGCACTCGGCTAATTTTTGTATTTTTAGTTGTGTGAGGTTTCACCATGTTGGTCAGGCTGGTATCGAATTCCTGACCTCAGGTGATCTGCCCACTTCATCCTCCCAAAGTGCTGGGATTACAGGCGTGAGCCACCATGCCTGGCCCTAAATTCATACTTTTAAGGCCTTGTCACTAGCCTTTTGATCAACTTTAACTGGCCTTCCTTCCAAGAGCTTGCTTCTCCTCTAGTCCACCTTCTACATAGTAGCCTGATTATCTTCCTGAATACTGAACAAAATTCCTGTCTTCATGGAGCTTATGGTATAATGGAACAAACCAAAAATTTTTCAAAACGTGATAATGAGCTACAAAAAAAAATAAATAAATAAAAACAGGGTAAGAGAAAAGGGCAAAGGAGGGAGTAACTTTAGATAGGCTGGTGACATTTGATTACTGTATAACAAATGCTAATGCCCTTCAGCTAAAGAGCAGCAGGAAAACACCTAGAGTCAAACGAAGCTGGGTTTAATGACTTGTTGCAAGGGGTGGGGGTGCGGGGGCACTCTGTAAGTGGGTATTGGTATTGTGAAAAACATTACACCTTGGGTTAGGTGATTTTGGGGAAGTGTCAAGGTTTTGCTCTGGATTGGATGCTGGCAGGAAACAGGTAATCCTGTAATTGAATATTTTAATATTTGCTATCTAGAAGGCAGGAAGAATGGAGCAAGACTAAGGTTGTAATTGGTCAAGAAGCAGTGGTGACTTATATTAACCAGAATGTTTGGTCATTTTTGTGGTTTAGAGACTGTTCTTGTATTTGCTGTGTTTAGACATGATTATGAAGGGGTCTTATTTTTGTCTTGTCTGTTACAGTCACAGAGTGACGCTGATAGTGACATTTTGTGAGATTGTTTATATTTGATAAAACACTCAGAACTGAGAATGCCAAGACAGCTGCCAGTACCACAAATGCATAGCTAATAGTGCCAGTCCAGCTCCTGGCTGTCCAGCGTTGGTTCCTGCTGCAACCCAGCTCCCTCTGTCCCCCAACTAGCAAAGCCATCAGCTGCTACATTTGTCCCTATAATTGCAATTTATGACTCTTATTCATAATTTTGTATCTTTAACATTTACAATAACAGTATTACTATTTAGGGTACTGAGTTCCAAAACTCATTGCAGCTCTCCCGATTATAGTAGAGAACTAGTGGTATGATGATGGTGGGTGATAAGAACAGACATGCAAAATATCGTAACTATAAAAAACAGGTATTATTTGTCTGCAGAGTCCCATAGGTAAACCAAAGACAATCTGCTTGTAGCTAAATGGTTTAGAAATTGGGAGTAAGAAAACAAATATTGTAAATCTTGGCAATGACTTCAGAAGTCCCAGAGTCGGTTGCTCCATCTCTACAAACAAGAAGCTGAAGTTGTATGGTATGTGTAGTTCTGATATGCTTGCATGGTGCCAGGCTGGCTGTACAGGAATCATATAGGGAGCTTATTATCATCAGGTAGAGATTCGAGGGCCTCATCTCTGGAAAGTATAAATCATCCTAAGTTTTTGAGACTAATCCATGTTTTTTTTCCTTTTGTTGCTAAGTTGTATCTAATTAGATTAATATATTGCTTTATTAATGATGGACATTTGGGCAGTTTGTCGTTTTTGGTAACCACAAATAAAGTTGTTAGGGATATTTTTGTACAACTCTTTTTATCGATATATGCTTTTATTTCTCTGGACAAATACCTAGATGTGGGACTGCTGGCTCATAGGGCAGATGTGCATTTAACTTATATGAAATAGACATTTTTTTTTATATCAAACTGGGACTCACTATGCTACTCAAGATGCAGTATAGTGGCTATTCACATGCATAATCATGGCAAACTGGGTTCAAGCGATCCTCATCCCTCAGCCTCCCCTGCTGTAGCTTGAATGATGGGTACCACTACAAGTGGTTCTGACAGGTTCACATTTTTGACATAAAGTAACAAAACATTTTATAATACTCTTGCCTATGGTCAAAGCGTAGCCTAGTAGAGATGTCAAAGGATCTGTTATAAGGCCTCAAGCACTCTGGGGCCCAGGAAGATCCCCTAAGGCAAATCGATGAAAGTTACGTGGATTTTATCTGTGGGTAAATGTAGTTCAGGCAATGCATTTGATAGTATGTCTGTGAAACCTTTGTCCTTTTGACAAATATATCGCCTCCAGGGCTCTTGGAATTCCACATCACTGTCATTAGGCTCTGAAAAACGGATACCTGAACGTGACAGACTTAAGACTAAAGTCATTTCTGACAGAGGACAGAATTAACAAATATTTGATAGCATGTTTGAGTGGAGGCTGGGTGGGGCTGGCCACTGTAACTCTCAAGTTACCCTTAGCAGATTTTTTTTTAAACACCTGACACTTCCACCCTTCGGCAGGTAACCAAACTCTATCTAAAGGAAAATAGAAACCAAAAGAAAGAACTCTTTCACCTTCCGGCCAGAAACATCCATCTTTCTGTATCCACCTTTTATCCACCTCTCCTCATTCTCTGTAATCACAATGAAGAAAAGCATCCTTCCTAAAGTACTCTTCATTCCACCTTCTCCCCTTATTTCTCTCATTAGAGTGGCTCATTCCCATCGGTATTTGCCTCCTCCAATTTTTCCCTGGTGAAAGTTAACCTCGATATCGTTAAACCTTCTAACGGATTGCCTGCCCAGCTATTTACTCTAACCGGGATCACCAAGGTTTACCATACAGCAGGCACTGCACCTTCATGTTTAAAATACATAATATATGACTAGACAGGATTCCGAGGGTGCAGATAATGAAGCTATCTACAGCTTGTAGCCTGGGTGTTGGATGGCTCACTGGATGAGGAAACTGCTTATCCTTCAGCTGTGTATGGGTAATTTGATATATGCTTTCACTCTGAAATAAAGTTGTGGCAAGGCAGTAGTACGCAACAAGTACGAAAACAAGTCGGGAAACAGTGGTGCGGCAAAACCAATCAACCCCTCACAGGACTTGGGTGCGCATCACCCAGGAGCCGCGCAGCCGCCACTCCGCCCGCCGCGCGGTCAGCGCCCGCACCGGCCCTTCCGGCGGAACCCGCCTAGCGGGCTTCGAAGGGACCTCAGTTTCCGAGTAGTGATGGGGGTGGAAGGTGAGGGGAAGAGCCGAGGGGCTCCCGGCCAATGGCAGCTCTTGAACTTACACCTCCAGACGTCAGCGCGGCTGTGTAAACGGATGTCACACAGCAGGCTCGGAAGTGTCTCCTCCCGCCTCAGAAACGCGGCGCACGCCCAGCGGCCTCGGAAAAACCTTAGGCGGCGAGAGGGAGGGGCATGCGCCGCACGCCGCGAGCCCAGAGTCCCGCGCCCTCGCCGGCCGGCCTCCTCCCCGCAGTGTCTGTGTGGTAGCCGTCCTGGTTGAGCAGCCGGGCGCCGGCGTCCTCGCCACAAGCGCGCCGCCGCAACTGGCTCCGCCCCTTGCCGGAACGGGCCGCGCGCTCCTGCAGCTCTCAGCAGAGTCACGGGCGCGCGCGCCGCCGGCGGAGCCGCAGTTAAAATGGTCCGAGAGGGACCCGGCCTTGCCCCCGCCGCCGCGCTGACTGACTGAGCCGGCTGACCGGGCCCGACTGGTCGCCTAGCCGGCAGGCTCGCTCTCTCCCTCCCTCCCTCGCGTCCCTAAAGCTCGCGCCCATCGTTCTCCCGGCTTCCCTGGGCAAAGCATGTAGCCCCCTTCGGGCACTCCGGCGGCCCGCGGCTGACGCCCACCTCCCTACCATCGCGTGTGTGCCCGTGTGTGCGTGTGTGTGCGCAGCGCGGGCGACACCGCCGCGGGCCGGAGGCCGAGCCAGCGAGCGGCCTGCCCCGCTGCCGGCAGCTCGCCTCTCTGGGCCTCCCTCCCTCCCGTCCCGGTGCCCCTCCTCGGGGCCTTCTATATGGGCCACCTTCTCTCGAAGGAGCCGCGTAACCGCCCGAGCCAGAAGAGGCCTCGCTGTTGCAGTTGGTGCCGCCGCCGGCGCCCTCTCCTCAGGCTGCCCCGCCGGACCCCAGCCAAGGTGCCCCCCCAGCCGGCGGCGCCCCGGAGCCGGGACTGCTTCTTCCGCGGGCCCTGCATGCTCTGCTTCATCGTGCACAGTCCCGGCGCGCCCGCCCCCGCCGGCCCAGAGGAGGAGCCGCCGTTCTCGCCGCCGCCGCCGCCGCGGGACGGGGCCTACGCTGCCGCCTCCTCCTCCTCTCAGCACCTGGCGCGGCGCTACGCGGCCCTGGCCGCCGAGGACTGCGCCGCTGCCGCCCGCCGCTTCCTGTTATCTTCGGCCGCCGCCGCCGCCGCTGCCGCCTCGGCTTCGTCGCCCGCCTCCTGCTGCAAAGAGCTGGGGCTGGCTGCGGCCGCCGCCTGGGAGCAGCAGGGCCGAAGCCTTTTCCTGGCCAGCTTGGGGCCGGTGCGCTTCCTGGGGCCGCCCGCCGCTTTGCAGCTCTTCCGGGGGCCGCCGCCGCCGCCGGCCGAGCCCCTTACGCCTCCCGAAATGGTGTGCAAACGGAAGGGGGCCGGGGTCCCCGCCTGCACCCCCTGCAAGCAGCCCCGCTGTGGCGGCGGGGGTTGCGGCGGCGGCGGCGGCGGCGGTGGGGGAGGGCCTGCCGGGGGAGGCGCCTCGCCGCCGAGACCCCCCGACGCCGGCTGCTGCCAGGGTCAGGAGCAGCCCCACCAGCCGCTCTGCCCCCCGCCCTCTTCTCCCACTTCCGAAGGTGCCCCCACCGAGGCTGGCGGGGACGTTGTCCGAGTCGGGGGCACCGCCCCCTCGTCCGCCCAGCAGCAGCGTGAATGTGGCGACGCGGACTGTCGGGAGCCCCCCGAAAACCCCTGCGACTGTCACAGGGAGCCGCCCCCCGAAACCCCAGACATCAACCAGCTGCCGCCGTCCATCCTGCTCAAGGTGGGTCTGGGCGAGAGGCGCAGGGATGCTCGTTTTCCCCCACCCCCGGCCCCCGCCTCCGAGGCTTTCTCTCTCCTCCCCTTAAGCGCGGAGGAGGGGGTTCCCTGACAGCCGAGGGACGTCCAAGCGAGAGACTGGGAAGCCGGTGGGTCCTCTGCCTATGGCCTGTTTTTTGAAGTATGAACACTTGGAGTCTACTGAATGTCTTAATAGCTTGACTCTATAACCCACCCTTCAGGGTTCAGCTATTATTAGAATCCCAACCCAGTGGTTTAGAAACTTCGCAGGTATTCTGTGGGGAAAAAAATTGTTTTTAATCAATTGAGGAATTAGTACTTAGTGGGTAAAGACTATTTGGAAGTGTTCAAACATTACTTTCGGGTTTAATGGCTGGTAGTTAATGTCAAACAGTTAACTTTTATTGAGCATTTACCATAATCAGGCACTGCGCCAGAGCTTTATATATACAATATCCATACCATTTCTTTATCCAGTTAACGCTGCGAGATAAATATTGTTAATATCTTTATTTTATACAAGAAGAAACTGATTTCTCCGTGCCGTGGAGCAGGCTTTACAGTAGTGAGTCAGGAAGAAGTGGTCTTAGCTCCTATGGAACTGACAGTCTAGTGGGGCTTGAAGTGGTTGAATGACTTGTGGAAGGTCTCATACAGAAAGTAAAGGGCAGATCTAGGTCTTGAACGAGGTACCTGATTTAAAAATTCCTTTGTTTACTATGTTGTAATGCCCTCCTGCATTTTAACCCTTACGTAAAAGCATACAGATTACCAGAGGTAAGCACAGATGTGTTTTTTCTTGGGAGACCAGTGAGTAGAGGTAGGTGTCCTGGATGAAATTTGTGTCATTTTCAACTATCATATTTTGCAGTTTTGTCAATGCTAGTGACAACCTTAGTTACGTAATAGAGTTTTTATTAAATTATTATTAACTTTTATCCTCTTTTTTACCGTCTCTCACCCCACCCTTTCTGGAGCTTAATAAATATAAACCATTTTCATTGTGGATGATACTAGAGACTAGCCATAAATAACCTTGATAAGAATTTGGCTACTTTTACTGAAGTAACTTTAATTAATTACAATTGTTATTGTCACCAATGTGGTTTCTTTGACTAGACTTTTGCATATTTACAGTACTGTGTGTTTGGGTCTGTTTTATTGTGATATTAATGTTCTTGTGAATGATACAGGAAGAGAGTGGGAAAACTTACATTTCCTTGTGTCAAGATGTAATAATCTAATTCTTGTGGTGGTATACTTGTTGGAAGAGTAATTGCTTACTCTTTGTGTGCAGAGGAGCATTTTAGGACAAAGGGAACTTTCTTGAGTCCTTTAAATCACTGGATGATATGGGTAAATAAAATATGAACAAATTTTTGGTGTAGACGTTTGATTGCTGTCTTCTTATTTGACAAATAAGACTGTTTCGGAATGAACCAAAACAAAGCCAGGTACCTTCTTCTTAGACCATTATTTCATGAAGTATAAAAACATTTTAATACCAAGAAAAAGAAAAGGAGGGACATCTCGTAATAAAGAGAAACTCTAATAGAATAAAATAAATTTATTCTATTAATACTGCATTGTTCTTTTCCATATTTTTACCTGTGGATGGTTGAAAACTTTGTCTAAAGGACATTTGGGAATCACATGGGCTTGCCCTATTGTGTGTATTTGGACGTGTTATGTAGATTTCCATTTTTTGTATTAGAAAACTCTAATAAAGATTCTCTGTCTGAGTCTCGTGGTCCTAGTGATATTCAGCACGAAGTGAGTTGTACTATCTGGGATGAATTGAATTAGAGATTGCTGAGTGTCTGCCAACCCCAGCTTTTGCGGGCAGAGACTCAGGATTCATATCTTGTTCATTGCTCTGTCTCCTCCTTTAAGTGCAGTGCCTAGCATATAGTAGCACTCAGTAAATACTTATGAATGAATGTAAGCTTAGGTATTTGGAGTATGGGCTGAAACTCGGGGTAATATGCCACACCACGAAGAGACATTTCTAAGGAATGTCCATATTCTGACTGGAGTTTGAGCCACAGTAGAGCCTTGTGGTGGTGAAAGGGTTTTGGCTCTGCCTCTGGTAAAGACTGGAGTTGTTTTGACTTGGAGAAAGGAAGACTTTAGGAGCTATGACAATTATTTTTTTCTAATATTAGAAGAGTTGTTGCAGAGAGGCACAAGTCCATAATCACTATTGGAAAACATTCTTCGAAATTATGCCCTGTTCTGGTAGTGGGTCCATAGCTATTATAATTGTATTGCTTTTGCTTCTTCTTTTGTACTAGAAAGTTACTATAGCTGTAAAAAAAAAAAAAAAATGAGGCAGGTCGAATTTGGGAGAGAAATGTGAGGATGTTTAAGAATTAAAAGGATGTTTTTGAGGAAAGCTACCGTGCTTGCCCAGTGGTGTTTTTTATTTTTTTTGGTATGGCAGAGGAGAAAAACTAAACTATATGTTACATCAGAGGCCAATTTGTGGCTCAATATCAACAAGGATGTTTTTCCTCTATATAGGTTAATAAATATGATGTGCTTTAAAGCAGCCAAAAATGCATTTTAATATAATAGTTTCTTTAAAAAGTTGTTTAGCTTTGGCAGAATATCCTATTTTATGCTTATTACCCACATCTTAAATTTCTTCACTTGGATAAACAAAACACATCTGGGTTTAGTCAGTGATCTTTGGTTTATAACAGCTGTCTCACTTTTATAAAAAAGGAAACTAAACTTCAAAGAAGATAATAGCATGTTTAAAACAAGATGCTACTTGGTTCCAGTGACCATGCCTACGTGTTGATTGTTAACTGACAAATTAGCCCTTCAGGAACATACAGTCCTTTAACCTTAAAAAATGATCTAGGCCCCTAAGTTTTTATTTTCTCATGTGTAAAATAAGGAGGATGAGCATAAAAATATCCACAAGAAATTTACTTTGACCTGTGCATGAAGAGTTTGGTGAATCCTTTCCACACACAAAAAAGTGTAGAACTGGCAAAATTGCCCAAAACTATTTGAACTTTGGAAATCAACTAAAAGCAAAGAAAGAAATTGAGAAACATTTATTCTTAGGAAAACTGTTAGAGCTTCAGGTAAGAATAGCCCAAGTCTACAGCATTCTTGCATGGGCCCCTACTGTGACCTCTTGCCCCGGCACCTTTGGCAAGAAGTGTAGTTTGGAAAACCAGCAGCTTTGCTGCCAGAGAGCTGATTCAGTTTGGGGCAATGAATAAAAACCTTTGTCGATAAAATGTTGTGAACTTGGTAGGGAAAAACAAGGAAAAACTATGTATTTGCTAGTTTAAGTTTGTAGTGCCAGTTGGGATGAGTGGAAGACTAGCCATAAATTAAAAGGCAGACCATGGAAATGGGAGAACCATAAAGGGATAATCTCTCTACATATCCTGGCATATTGTGAAACTGTGCACATGTGTAGGGGAGATCTGAGGTTGTCTAACTGAGAGCAAGAGCCAAGGCAGATGAGAATTCTCTAAGCCTTGAATGTGCCCTTCTTAACTCACACATAGATTGAAGAGCAGGCTCAAGCTGTTTGAGCATATCTTTGGCATATACATAGCTGAAAACTAAGCTATTTAGACACAGGATAACTTCCCTAGAAAGCCAGGATAAAACATATATATGTGAATTAAAATCTAAACAGAAGTATTCACACTGCCCAGAACACAGATTTCACAGTTTAAGGTCAGACATGTTAAAAGGCTCAGAAGTGTAAAATTCTATACCGACTGTTATCTAAAATGCCCAATTTCTAACAAAAAATTTTGAGAAACATGTAGAGACAGAAAAATGTGACCCATACTAAGGGAAAAAGAAAGCAGTTAATAGAAATTGACTCTGAGTAAGCCTAGGTATTAGACTTAGCATAGACTTCAAACTATTATAAACATGGTAAAAGAAAGGAAGCAGTATTTGAATAATTACAGAATGTAATGACATTTACCCAACAAATTGGAAATCTCAATAAAGATATAGAAGCTATAAAAGTGTTTTATTCTTTTTGATGCTATTGTAAATGGAAGTGCTTTCTTAATTTCATCTTCAGATGAGTCGTTAGTATATAAAAATATTTGCTTATTAGTACTAAAATTAATTTTCGTATTTTCTGGGATTTTCTCTATATAAGATCATGACATCTGTAAATAGAGGCTATTTTAATTCCAACTCCACAATTTGGATGCCTTTTATTTATTTTTCTTGCCTAATTGCCCTGGCCAGAGTCTCCAGTACAGTCTTGCATAGAAGTCATGATGCAGGCATCCTTGTTTTGTTTCTGATTTTGAGGAAAAACTTTTATTTTTTTACCATTAGGTATAATGATAACTAGGGGTTTTGGTAGGTGCTGTTTCCCAGGTTGAGGAAATTTATTTCTGAATGTTTTAAGAAAGGGTGTTGGAATTTGTCTCGTGCTTTTTCCTGCATCAGTTGGGATGATCATATGTTTTTGTTTTTTACCTTTATTAATACGGTTTGTCACATGGATTTTTTTCATATGTTGAACCATCCTTGTATTCTTGGGATAAATCCCACTTGGTCATGATGTATAATCCTTTTAGTATACTGTGGATTTAGTTTCCTTATATTTTATTGAAGATTTTAACATCTCTATTCTTAAGGGATGTTGGTCTGTAATTTTTTGAGATTTCTTTGCCTGGCTTTGGTATCAGGTATGCTGGCTTTATAGCATGAGTTAGGAACCATTATCCCATCCTCTCATTTTGGAAGAATTTGAGATAGATTGGTGTTCATTCTTATTTAAGCATATTACTGGTGAGGTCATCTGCTCCTTGTCTTTGTTGTAAATTTTTTGTTTTTTATTACACATTCCATCTTTTTACTTGATATACATCTTTTCAGATTTTCTATTTCATTTGAGTCAGTTTTTATAGTTTGTGTTCTAGGAATTTGTCATCTGTTTCACCAATTTAGTAGTATACAGTTATTTGGGTCCCGATTCAA